ATCATCTTACCATTCTAATTTCACATGTGCTGTTAACTAACAAGAATTTTTGTTTGGCGTAAAAAAAAAAAAAAAAAAAAACTAAAAGGGAAATTTTTACTCTGGTTTGAAGTCATTATTTTCTTTTCTCATTGGTAAAAAGAAAAAAAAAGTTAACGAGACTCGCCGACCCAGTGTCTAATCACCGGATAATGAATTGGGCTCGTGATTTTACCCTAAACTACAACTAAAAAAAAATAGTAAGGTTGTTTTTAGTTTTCCAAACTTTAAAGTTTTTGTGTTTTAGTTTTATCTGTCACTGTGTACTCATTGTAACTGTCACAAGTAACAACATTGAATGAATGAATGAATGATTAATTAAAAAAACACTTTTTTCTTTTAATAGAAACTTTATGGAAATGGAAATTTAAGAAACAATGAGGTTTTTAAAAGCATACAATACTTTAAACGACAACAAAATGCAGGTAGGAACGTTTTTAATTTATTTTTATTTTATTTTATTTATTTTCGTTGTAAAGGCCAAAATCAAATTAAAAATAACCAGCCTCTTAGGCATCTTGTTTTTATGTTGGATAAAAAAACGTATCAGATACATGATCCCCCCCCACTACACACACAGAGTGTCATGTTCTGTCTTTCTTCTTGTCCTCTTGTTTCGGTCATTTTGCTCTGCGACCTTTTTCAGGATTAGGAGTCTGTCACTCACGGTAACTTTATTTACACCATGAGGTATTGTTCTCCTTCTGCTGTTCGTATCTCGTCTAAAGTGGCAGTTTAATTGTGATTTCAATCCCTGGGTCAGGTTGTATAAACTAAACACTCAGTGGAAACAAGACTAGCTATATTGATTAGTAAAAAGAGAACAAGGTTCCTAGAGATGAAAGGGAGAACAAGAACATTCTACACCTGTGGATTAAGTAAAAAAGGGTTAAAAATTCATCAGAGCGTGTACATATTCCAAAAGGAACCTGTAGTGATAGAAAAAGAAAAATATCACTCATTTTGGTTTGCCATATGAAAGAAATAAAAACAAAAGGATAAAAAATAAATAAAACAGGCCAAAAGGTTATCATTCCTAAATGCAGGTAAATAAAAAGGGATTGTCAAATGAATCATTTCTGGAACCAATCAAAATCAAGAACAATTCGGGTGGGGGAATGAATTCTATTGTCTAAAGAAAAAAAAGTTATGGATAGTGACGGGCAGGCAAACGGACCAAACCAGCCGCTGAAAAAAATTTCATCTGCTGTCCCTTACCCTGAAGGTTCAGACACCTAAAAATTCTACCGAGGGAGTCAAAATAATTACTACTATCAAGAAATACCTACATACACATTAACAAAGTCTCCCCCCCACTCTCTCTCTCTCTCTCTCTGACTGCCAACATGAGAACTTTCTGATATGAACTTATGAACTATTTGGATATTATTGTATATTTTATTTTGATCAATATAAATTTTTATCAGTATATGCAATATATATCTTTGTACTAATTATCTGTGCATGTGTTTTTAGAGGTCCATAAATTGGTGTATATTTGGATCGATTAAGGATGTTATCCCAAGATAACCACCTGTAAACAAGTAACCCCCTACTTTGGGGACCTCCACATCTAAGCACCAATTCTTAGACCTCTACAAACCAACATTTCAATTTCATTTTTATTACAAAAAGATATTAACTTTTATTGCAGTTTGAGAAGAGATATTTTTCTTATTTCATTTTATTTTCATTTTATGCTTTTTTAATTTTATTTTATGTTTACATTAAAAATCATGTTTATCTACTACTGTAATGAAAATAATGATAGATGTTTTGTTAACTTTTTATTAGTAAAAATTAAAATAAGCCTTTTTCATGTTATCATATATTGTTGCATGTAAATAAATTCTGTAGGAAAGAAGCCTTTACGTACAGGCACGAGTACGCAAACACACATTAAAACTTTTTTTTAAGAAATAAATTTAGAATATTTAAATTTGTTCGCCTCTTTTTAATTACTAATTTAACACTCCCATTTTATAAACTGAAATTGTTTCCAATGTAAAACTAAGATAATAATAATAGTTGTATATATTTGTTTTAAATTATTTCACCCTCATGCACAAAGTGATAATGCCACTAAAACACATGGGAGTGAAAGAGAAGACTTTAGAAGGAAATGGAAACCCAATCCTGAACAGGACACAAGGGATAAACCTCTACTGAGTAGAATCTCATCTACTTCTGTTCAATAGACGGGGAAGGGGTGCAAATCAGGCGATAGGCAAACTTATCTACTCCTATTTATAACCTTTGCTTGCACAAATTTATTTCAAATAAACTAGAAAATAATTTTGTTGCCACTATTATATAAACAGTATTTTTAGCTTCCGAATATGTAGTAATGCTTGAAGTAAAAAACAAGTATTGTTGTGATATGTGTTATTCAAGGTATCCTATTTGAATGTCCTATGCTCAGTAGTAGACAGACAATGCATACTTATGTCAATATCACTAACAAGTATTTTGCTATTTTTAATGAAATCTTACATGTCTAAGCAGTGACATACAGAGGTTTAGTGATGCCCAGATCCAAATCCTTGATTGTATGCCCCTAAGACTCAAGTAGGAGGTGGGGGTCTATAGGGCCTAGTACTGGGAAATGTGAGAAAAGAAGACATTTTAAAGATGTAAAAAGAAGAAACATGAAATAAACACTTTATTCAAATTAAATATTTCACCTTTTGATTGGATGCCCTCCTGATATGGATGCCTGGGGTTGTCACACTCTCTGCGCCCCCTCTTTCTGCTCAAAGAGTTGTTATTCATAGCTTTTAAATTTATGAATTTTCTAGAAAAGAAACCTTTACACACACACACACACACACACACATTAAAAAGTTTTAAGAAATAAGTTTATATATTTAAATTTATTCACCTCTTTGTAATTATTAATTTTGAACAATGCTATTTTACAAACTGAAATTATTTCCAATAGAAATGATAATAATAATAACAATAATAATAATGATAATAATAATAATATTAACTAAATGTACCCATAAAAATTTCACAGTTTTGTTCTTTGAATTTTCTGATGAATCATAATTCATAAGTTAATAATTGAATAAGTTCATTGAGTTCAACAACTATAAAATACCCATGGAAACTTACCTGTTGCATTGTTATATATTTGAGCTTAACAACTTCAGCAAAATATTGCTGACAATCAAATATGAATGTAGGTCTTTATTTAAGAAGTAAGAGGGTACAAATGAAAAGATTTGAAACTGACAAGTTTTTCCATTTCACTAAAGCAAAATTTAAACACATGAAAGCATTATTGCCTCCTTTTTCTTTCTTTTTCTCATTTTTTTCACGTTTGGGTGATTATGTCTCTTTCAATTCGTGATTGACTAGGCAGGAAATATCTTAAGGCTTGAAAATTTAAGAGTTGCTATTTACTAAGCACAAGGCCACAATTACGAGGCACCTATTATTATTACTAATGGCCTACAAATCCAGCTTGTCCACATGATCAGTTATTTAAGAAATGACTCAACATAATCTTCTTATATGATATGCCAAGTGTATTTTGCCTGTAATGTCTGTAACTGGTTTTCCCTGTCAAACTTATCTTCCTTGCACTGGTGATGCCAGGTTTCAGACTTATATTCCTTACACTAGTGATGCATTTTGTTATGACAATAGCAGACTATTTGAAAATATTTAACAAGACAGAGGATGAAAAACTGAGTATCATGTGTTGATTTCCAACACCTAGTCTGCCAAGACACCTGCTAGATAGCACTGTTCAAGAGTATAAAAGGATGAGATAATAAACATGCTTCCATTTTTTTGATCTGGGATGTAGTAGTTATAATACAAGTTTCTTCCTCTTCAGGGAGACACTCCCCAGGTAAACCAAATAGTGAATTTCAAACACACTATGTGGTGATCACACATCACACACTATAGCTAAATACAGAAATTTTTTTTTTTTTTTTGTTTTAGCTAGCTGTACATGCGTGGAGATATTTTTCTTTCTCACCATTTCTGAGCTATATTGTTCTTTACATAAAAAAAAAATATATCTATAAAAACCTCCACATGCTCAATCCATTTCTTTCGAAAATGTTAAATTCATTTTACTTTGAAAGTCTACTTCCAAATTAGCCATGACAAGTAGTAACTCCTCACACTGCAAACTGATCAACAGCAATCACATCCAGTACAAATCTGTAGCGTTCATTTACTACAATCTCAAGAATATTTGGAGAAAAATTATAAGACTGTCATTTTTTTAATGGCATGGGAAAATGAGTTATTCATCTTTTTTTAATTAAATATCACCCAATGCAGGTCTCGAGAGTCACTCAAGATAGAGGGTTGCAGTCAAAATTGTAAGGATGAGTGATATCAGTGGAAGAGAAGGTGGTAGAAAGTGGGAATTATGAGGATAAGGAGGATAGATAAAAATTGACCTTTGACATCAAGATTAAAGGATTCAGGGCAACACTCATGCAAGAGTCTGCTCCACAAAGTGTCAGTTCTTGGGAAAAAGCTGTCAGAATGGAACTTCCTTCTTACATTTGGAACATGGAGGAAATAAGGGTGATTTGACTCTGTAGAAGAGGTGATCTGAATGTAAGAGGAGGAAGTAGGGAGTGAATACAAGGATAGCGTGGATTGATAAATTTATGCTAAAGTTGAAGAGGGTAAGATTACAATACAATTATTTTTTTTTTATTAATTGATAGGTTTTTTACAACTTATCAAACTGTTACAGATTATTTAGAGCCAGAAAATATTTTTAGAATGTAAGAATTTATTGAAGATAATAATGATTTACTGATACAAATCCTACTTATTAACCCATAGCTGGGAGGAAAGTAGATTCATACCTTTTCCCAGGATACTTGTATGTAAGCGAATATAATGAACACAATGAGAATTGGAACTTGGCTCTCAGATTTCCAATTCTGAGATGTTATCCATTCACCAGCAGCCTATTCAAGCTTACAGTACCGGGTTCTCCCAAGTGGTCACCCACCTAGGTACTAAGCAGGATTGGCATTGCTTAACTTTGGTGATTGTACAAGAACTGGTGCTTTGTGATATGGCCTTAAGCCTACAGTTGGGGAATCATCCATATTGGAGTCTGTTTCATAATGTAGCGGTTTTTGGGAAGAAGATTTTTGAATGAAACATCCTTCTTACTAATGAAGTATGTAGAGAATTAGGGTGATTCAACTCTGTGGATATAGCAAGGTGGGTCTTAGCTGCAAACAACTGAGTGGGTAGCACTAAAGAATGAAGTTTGTTTGAATATTTGCCATGGAAGTAGTGACAGAGTAGTGATAGGCATACAGCATTACAGATGACAATAATGCTACTAAGACACAAGGGTTACTGAGTGAGAAAGAGAACGAGAAGACTTTAGTGGGGAGATAGGATAAAAAAAAGAACAGATTTCAGGAAGACAGAAGATGATGATGATGTCACTAAAATGCAAGGGGTTACTGGGAGTGAAAGAGAATGGGAACACTTTAGTGAGGAAAAAGGACAATAAAAGAACAGAATTCAGGAAGACAGAAGATGGCAACTGACATTGTATTTAAATTTTTGAAGACTGTAGGTAGCAGGAAAACAAGAAACCAGAAGAGAGTTGAACAGATGAGAAGTGTGAAAAAAGAAACTATTAGAACAAAACTTATGGTTACATCTAAACATTCAACAGTAAAGCAGTGAAATATAGCTAACATTTTTCTCTTTCTTGTATTGAATTTCCAGTTATGATGATTGTATCTTTTCTCCCTCCCCATTATGCTCTTATTTTAATAAATATGTCTCTTGTTATAGTGTTAATTAAAAAAAGAAAAATTTTATATCATTGTTTGAATAACAAATACAAAAATAATGTTTTCCCATTTCTTAATTCAATTTTATTAATGTGTTAATAATGAACTATTCCATGCTATCCATTTCAATACTAACCTTTTTGTATAAAAGGTTGTTTAACTACTAACGATCAGTTTAGCAGAATAAAGATTCTAAATTTGATATATTACAATTGAATCAGAACAAATAATCTAGCAAATTTTCTCTTTTTCCTTCAGATATTTCCTCTACAAGAAATTTTCAGAAATAGCTATATTGGATTTTACTAAATTCTGAAAAGAAATCTAAATCAACAGAATTTTACAACTTCTGCATGAGCTCTTCTAAGAACTTGCCTTTAAAAGCAAAAACAAGTTTCAACAAACTTGTGATCAGTGACAAACACTCTGTTCAAACATGGAAGCAGTGTGTAAATGATTTGAAAAAACAGAATGAACAACTCCAAATTCAAAATGACCAATTACAGAGAAATGTCAAAGACCTAGAATCAAAATGTGAAGTCTTACTGAAAACTGTATTGGAGCAATCAATAACTGATGATTGTCCAGCTGGCATTTCATTTGCAGGTCTGATTAAACAGCCCCTGGGAGAGGTCCTGGTCAAGTTAAGTAACCTTCAGAAGAAACAATCTGATGTTGGCACTTTAAGCAACAGGGTAGAAGAACTTGAAACCAGGCTTACTTCAAACTATAATGAAATTGCCAAATTACTACAAATTAAAATGAATGTTGAAAGTTGCCTTGAACAGGTATTAGTATGCAGGGAATTGCTTGAGGCAAAAAATATTGCCAGAAAGACTTTAGATGAATGTAGTAAGTAAAAAAAAATTATTTTAATTTGTATTATAAATGGGTATTTATTTACATCTGGACTAATGTCTACACCTTTGTCGTTGGCTGTTTCAGATGTTGTGCTCTCTAATCTTCTTCAGATGTCTATCAATCTAGCTAACCTTCAAGCAAAATTTGAATTGAAATCTTTATTTAATCTACAGAGGTAGATTATTCTTGTTCTGCTTTTCATATCTTGTCTTGTTTCTTTTTAGTACTCTTATGGTATTTCTAGTTCTGTTTCCAATGGGTCTAAGTCTGTACTACCCAACCCAGAGATTGAACTCACAATTACTATGCCACTAAATTCATAAAGTAGCACTTTAATCCTTTAGACTGGACATGAACAGCAGAAAAAGAACAATCTATTGTCTTAGATTAAATAAAAAGATCAGTTCAAAATTCACTGAAGGTTATCCAGGTGAAGGAGACCTGAAGAAGGCTGGAGAGCAAAATGACCAAAACATTGAGATATAACAATAAAGATGAAGAGATTAGTCCACCTATAAATAAGGTAAATAATGACAACACCTCATCACAGAAATTCAGACAGAAATGTGCATTCATCAAAAAAACAATTCAATTTTGTACTGGATAAATTGTAGATATTTATATCATATGAGTATTGCAGATTTTACAATCACATGAATGTACTGACTTGCAGGAAAAATGAAAGATTTTGTAATATCACCTTTCTGCTTTCAAAATTAGCATTCATAATTTGACTTTTATCAAAACTTCAATATTGGTAGTTAGTAACCAGATCTTATTATTTTGTTTTGCATTTTATTGTGATAAAGATTGGCTCTAACTCCACGTATCCTATTGAATAAGCATTGAAAAATTTGATAAAGAGTTATACCCCTTATATCTTTGTGAGTGATAGTAACGACAACAACAAGATTGAATCTCTCTATCAATAGATAAATGATAAATCTGTTAATTATGGTAGTTAGATAAAATTTATTGAAATATATTCTGCTTTATATGCATGCACATTAAAGCAATTCAATGTTAGGTTCTCTCTTAAACATATTCTTGGGGGAGCATTGCTTTTATTAATTACAACAAAAAATATGATGATTGTATCTGGCTGGTGTGATATTTTGCTAAAATCCTTTCACAAGAACTGTCTGATGAACAAGCACACTATCATGATGATGGCCACACAGTACATAAGCTGTGATTATCTCACTGCTGACTGAATAACACTATAGGTGAGTGTGTACATGCACATTAAGGTCCCCTTTGACTGGTTACCAATATCAAAATTGTGCAATCAGCTTGTGGAAAGTTGAGGGGGTGAAAATTTGGCCCCAGTAAAAATATTCAACTCATCCACTTAGAAAAAGAGGACAGTAGATAAAATGTAAAACAAAAATTTTTATCTTCCAGAAATTGTTGAAGTGTTTTACAAAAACATTTTCTTTTTCTAGCCTTGTTTCTTCTTATGAAGATTTTTTTGTACAACAGGAAATAGACCTAATAACACCTGTATTTCAACTCAGGCTGTTACTTCAACTGTTCTTCAGACTGACCACTTGATACATTGTCCTTTCATTTATACCTGGGGCATGGATATATTAGTGAACACAAGAATACATGCAAATGTGTAATAGAAAAGTGCTTGGTTCTATTTGAATGTATGTTATTTCAAGAATATAAAATTTCTAATAACTTAATAACTATACATACTTAAACACTGAAATTTAGATTAATAATTTGACATATGTTTCAAATTCTGTGTTAATTTTATCTTCTTAAAATATCAGTTAGTTAAATTTTATTTTAAGTTGGTATTTAGGGATATCATATCATATTAATATTCTTCCCAGGGCTGCCAAAAGTACACCAGATCCAAATTTAGGGCCTTCTCTCTCCTGTCAAAGGAACCCCTCCCTGATTGACCATGTCTTCAAGGGTGTAACTGTACTCACCATGCTTGGTCAATTGTGGGTTGGTGAGGCTATTTAATTCATAGTTGGAGATTTTGAATTCAGAGTTGTCCTTCTAAGCTGGTTGTCATTGGTGTGTCCAGCTATTTCTTGGGAGAGAAGAGATGGATTCATACTTTCCCAAGGGTATTTGCATGTAAGTAAATGTAACCAACTAGAATTTGAACTCAGCTCTCCAATTTCTTAATCTGAGCTGCTATGCCACCATACCTACATCATATTAGTAATATTCTATAAAAAGAGATTTTGATTTTGCCTGAAATTGATTGATTAATTAATAGGATACATTCTAATAATATGTCTGCTATAATTTGAATCTGTCGAATTTGTTTGTTTTTACCAAATCTTAATTTATACAGATTTTTAAAGTTTTACTTCACAAACACTACAAGTTTGGATAGAAAATTACTTTTAAAAACAATAATTTGTGTCAACTGTTTTTATTTAGTGTGCTATTTACTTAAACCCGAGTATAAGTTATATAATGTCTGTTAAATGAAAATAACACTGACATCTCATTTTAACAAATATGTTTACCAAAATTACACAAAAATATTTTGAAATACTAAAGAATAAATGTATTCAATAAAGATCACCACTGACTTTAACCACAGCCTCCAGACAACTAAGGAATCTCCTTGTTTAAGTTGGTGAATGCTGCCATAATCCTTGCCTTCAGATCATCTTTGGTGTTACAAGAAATTTTGTTGGTCTCTTGTTCAACTGTACACCATGCATAATAATCAAGGGGGTTGCAGTCAGGGAGTTAGGTGGCCAGATGTAAGGGTTGATGTGATCACAGAAATTGTCTGACAGACATGACTGGATTCTCCTGTTTGTGTGGGATTGTGCAGAATCCTGTTGCCAAACATAGGGTCTTCCAGCAGCTACCTTCTTGACCCAGGGCAGCACTACCTCCTCAAAGCAGTTGATGTAGTCCATGTTGAGCCTGAGATCCTGTGGCAAGATGAATGGAGGCATAATGTCACCGTGACTAGTGATCACTCCAAACACCTTCATAATCACCATTAAACTCATCCAGCTCTTTCTGAATCCTTTGCACTGTCTTCAGATTGCCACCCAAACACTTTAAAGTTTTGGCATTAGAGCTTCTGGCATGAATGCCTAGCAGTACAGCATACCATTTCCAAATTTCTGGTGGAGTGAATTACATCATGAGGCTCTTTTTCTTACAGATGGTGCACAACTGACTCTACTGTTCAGTCAATGAAATCAAAACAAAAAACATGCATCTATCTATATATATATATATATATATATATATATATATATGAGAAAAATGTGCTCAATATCAGGGTCAGAGTGTATATAAATATAAGCATTATGGACACAGGCATCAACATCTAATGATGGCAGTCTGTTTCATGTTTAAACACAGTTGTTGGTCTGATAATTGCATTTAAATTTCTGAGTTCATAAAATCTCCTCATAACATACTAGAAGGAATTATAAGTCATTTAACAAGTGTAACCGTAAGTAAAATGTAACTGTAAGTAAAATGTAACCATTACTAAAATGTAACTGTAAATACAATGTAACTATAAGTAAAATGTAACTGTTAATATAATGTAATTGTTAGTAAAATGTAACTGTAAGTAAAATATGCTTAAATCTTACAGAATCTCCAATAATCTGTAGTTTCCTGATTGAATTTGTTATTCTCACAAATTTTGGTGTAGACTTAAGAAAATTGTACTGCTGAAAAATATTGATAATGTATCTATAGATGTATTTGAGAAGGAAAATCTAACTAGCATTGCTGTTTTAATTTTTATTTTAGATTTTAAATTTTCTTGTCACGTTTTTAAACTATTAAAATATTGTTTTAGCATAGTGTGTTGTTAATTGTTTAGAAATCCTGTCTTTATTTTTTTAGGTCAAGTGTATTTATTCATAAGTAGCCCTGAAAGGAAAATGTTAAATACTGCATCACTGAAAATGAAAAAGTCAAAAACTGAAAACAATTCTTCTCAGGACACCCAACATCTTCCTCATTTAACCAAAGTAAGTATATGCCTTCATTGTTTAAAAGGTTAAAAGCATTTCAGAGAAAAGATCAGGCCTGCACAATGGACAAATGTGAAGAGCCACATTGATTGTGGAAAATTAGCCACAGGCCACAATATACAGGCTTTGTTATACTGGTTTTCTTCTCAAATTGAAAGGTTATTGCATTTTTAAATGAACTTCCAAACTGATTCAGTCTTATCAAATCATGAAATGAAAATTGTCTTGAACAGCCACATTTCTAGATCTTTTTGCATTAATGCAGGTGTACCCCAGGGCTATATCCTTGGACTTATACAATGCGAAGATATGATTTTTGCAAAAAAGGAAAAAGACAAAAGCTAAATATGACGGTAACATTTCATTTATACAGCCAGATACCTGTATTTACATATTAGAAATCAATGTTCTTTGTTGTGGCCATGAAGTGACCAATAGTTCAATTGTTCAAAGTGATTTGTCACAAGTGAGACTGCAAAGTTTTGAAGTGTTTTTGTTGCAAGTGAAAACAAGTAGTATGGTATGTCAATATGTATGTGTGTATGTGAAGCACACATTAATGAAACATGTGTGTGATTGCTGACTGATTGCATGTGATAGCAGTAATTTTAAAACACAGTGAACAAAAAGAGGGGAGACAGGACTTACTTTCATTGTGGCATTGTATGTAGAAAATTCATTACTGACATATGTATTGTTATGTTGTTGATTGAGGCCTGGTTTGGTTTGCTGACTGTATTTCACCTACTGTCCTTCTCTGACTGTGTTGTTGCAGATCTGGTTGCTGACTGTTGCTGACGAGCCATTTTTATGGATATTTGACAGCCAATGTTCAGCTCATGAATCCTATCTGAGTTTTACATGGGGAAGGTACTCAGTAACATGAGTCCTGACCTATTTCCAGTTCATTTGGAGTTCAACCATGCAGATGTAGTAGAGAGTACATCACATGACTTGTCAAATCCAATCAGGTTCCAGAAACAACTTATCTAATTTGGAGCCATGTTTGTACAGAATTGTAAAAAAGTTTTTGTATCTACTGAATTTAACAAGATTTATTATTAGGCACCTCTTACATGTTTGTGATCCACTTATTGGCCATAAAATATAGGAGTTTATATCCTATAAAATCTTCCCTGCAGATTGATAAATATTGGAAATATTTTTCAATATCTGATATAAGTTTCAAAGGGAGTAGGCCAATTTGCTTGTCTACCTGATTTTGTAGTGACATTTGGGTGTATGTTTGCAGGTGAGGAAAATGGCTCACACACCTTGAAATTCAGTGGGGGTATAGAGTGTTCAATCATACTATTCTTTGTAGGTAAATTCAAGTATACTGGTTTTTAGTTTGACTATGGAGACAGTCTCTTGTTTACCGTTTTTTAAATGGTAAAATATTTTTGTTTCCTGTCAACCACTGGAAAAGTTCCTGAGTAAGAAGGGCAAATAGGCCCTTTTACTGCATCATTTTGTAAGAAAATATATTCACAGTTGAGAACATCCTTTGGGATGTAAAGGTTTTTGGTTTGTGTTCTAGTAGATGTGAAAACTAGATCACTCATTCTTTGTTTGAAGTTTTGTACAAAAAATGTGGTTGGCTGTAGGTGACTGGTTTTATTGCAAAACTGTCCTGGTAGTGTTAATAATGTCCCAAAGACTGATTCAAATGCTGTGCATCCTAACTCTTCCTTGATTACATTCCTGATGGATAAGAAAAGCAATGGTAAATTTTCTAACCAAGTCCCAGAATAGTTATTTGCTGTTAGTGCTGCCTTAAGTTGTCTGTGAAAACATTCGACTAAGCCATTGGCACAAGGATGATATGATCTAGTTGTTATATATTTGACTCCCATTAGTTTTGTGAATTTGTTGAGAAGCATAGATAGAAATTGAAATCCTTGATCTGTTGTTATTATTGAGGAACAACCAAAAACGGCTATCCATTCATGTAAGATGCTTTTAGAGATTGTCCCTGCAAATAAATCCTTTAAAGGAACAGCAACAGCCATCTTGTAAATCAATCAATGATATTGATTAGGTAATGATGGCCATTTCCTTCTGGTAATGGTCCAACTATATCAATGTGGTGGTTTGTGAACCTACTATCTGGTTTGATAAATTGCCCAGGAGGAGATTTTGTATGTCTGGTTACTTTGCTTTTTTGACACTTTAAATAGGTTTGAGTCCAGTTTTTTTGTATCAGTACACATGTTGGGCCAGACAAAATGATTGCTAATCAATTTTTTCTCAGTGAATGTGGTATATATTGTTTTGAATTGCAGAGTATTGTTTTCATTCCAAATGGGATTTTCCTTCAGTTGTAAAGAAGTGTCCACCTTTACTCTGTTTGTGGCATCTTTTTGCTGTTCCTTGGCAATGAGGTCAAAGGCAAGGGTTTCAGAATGTAGAGGTTGTATTGTGGAGCATGAGAGTGTATCTGCCACAATATTGTCTGAACTTTTAATATAACGGATATCCAAAGTAAATTGGGATATATAATCCAGTTGTCATGTATCTCTGGGTGTATATTTGTCTGTATTCATATGCAAGGTGTAAGTGAGAGGTTTGTGATCCATGAAAACAGTAAAATCTTGCTCTTCAAGCAGATGTTGGAAATGCCTTATTGATAAGTAAATTTCATGTAACTCCCTTGAGAAGGTACTGTATTTTTGTTGTGTGTTGTTCAATTTTATAGAGAAAAAGGCAAGTGGTCTTTTCCTAAGACATTTTGCTTCTGATGTAGAACTGATCCAATTGAATTTGCCAAAGTGTTAGTTGTCAATGTGAGTTTTGAGTTAGTGAAATTTGCTACTGCTTTTTTAGTGTCATGGAATGCAGTTAATGATTCTCCTTCTATAGTTATTTTTGCATTTTTATTTTTTGTTTCTGCAGCATGTTTGTGAGTGGGGTCAAGACTCTAGAATAAACTAGAATAAATCTGCCGTAATCTGAGGTATCTACATAGTTGTCACAGTGATGTTGGTTGTAGAAATTGTTGCATTGCTGCTACTTTCTCTGGGACAGGCGGGATCCTGTGTTTGTTGATCACATGGCCCAAGAAGTTCAAGTTAGAAACAGTAAATACACATTTGTTTATATTGATCTTTAAACCAAAAGGTTCAAGCCTCTCAAAAACTTGTTGTATATGGTCCTGGTGTTCTTTGCTATCATGACTAGCAATAATAACATCATCAATATGCACAAAAACGAAAGGTAATCCTCTCAAAACAATGTCAATACGTCTCTGAAAACTTTGCGTGCCTTACATAACCCAAATGACATCCTTGTGAACTAATAAAGCCTGAAAGGAGTGGTAATTGCTGTTTTCTTTGTCTTCCTGTGCTACTGGAATTTGGTAGTATGCTTTAACTAGGTTCAATTTTGTGAAAACCGTGGTTCCCTGTAAACCCTATCTGGAACTGTTTGCATGTTGAGATTCCTAAAATCCCCACAAGGTTGCCATGCACCTGTGTCTGGTTTTAGAACCATGTGAAGCAAAGAGGAGTATGGGCTACTTGAAGAGCATATGATGTCTAATTGCAACATGTGTTGAAATTCGTCTTTTGCTATTTTTATTTTTCTAGATGCAATCTGTGTGGTGATGCCTGTGTAGGGGTTCAGTTGTTGTGATGTAATGCTTACCAGTGTGAAAAATTTCGTTTGTCTTTTAAAGGAGTGATAATAACAGGAATTTTTTCTAATAACTCCTGTAGTTTATTAGCAGTTGGTATGGCAGAACTAATTCCTGTTGATGTGTAGATTGAGGTGATTTCCTTTGCCATTAGCTTTGTGTCACTGTTGATGAGAGAGTGTGTAGCCAAATTCACTAATAGATGGAAATAGGATAAAAAGTCTGCTCCAAGAATTACCGTTTTCAATTGTGCTTGTGTGAAAATCCATAGAAAAGGTTGTTGTAAATCCAAGTTGAGTGTTAATGATCTGTCTCTGTATATCTCATTTTTTGATTCCTATGTGGCTTGTAGTGTATATGTGGATAATGTGTGTTTTTTTTTTAGGCTCCAGTGGAATAACAGTGTTTTGTGCACCAGTGTCAACTAAAAATAAATATTCAGTATTTTTTCTGGATGTAAAATAGACAACATCTCTGTTCTATTCCAGTAGCTAATGTCATCTTTACTTGCTGCCAGAGTAATCATTTCTTTGGTGTTATGCAATAGTGTGGGAATTTCTTGAATTGAAGATGCATGATTCTCTGTACTTCCTTGCTTCTTTTCCAAATTTATAATGATATCAACAGGTATTGTAGGTAAACTGCTCTCTGGAGAATGAGTTTGACCTATCCCGGCTTGTTCTGCATGAAGAGTAGGATCATTTTTTGATTTCTGGGTGAGAACAATGAAAGTTTTGGTTTAGTTTCAAACTCTAGATTTGTGTGGCAGTCCGTTATATTTTTTTTAGCTGAGACATTTTCTTTGGCTTGTTTATAGGTGATGTGTTTGCTGTTGAGTATGATGTGGCATGAAAGTCTGGTTGCTGTTGTGTATTTTGTCTGCTGTCTCTGATACTCTCTTCAACTCCAATTCATTACATTGTATAAAAAATTATGTTGTATTTGTGAACACAACACTTGGATTTTAAAATCCAGGTATACTGACCCAACAGACTTATGTTGTTCCTAAATTTCATCAACAAACTTCCCCGTGACATAAGTTCTCAATTTAGTATCTATGCTGATGACACAACTATTTACTTCTGTACTAATAGTAAATCTGATTTGTTTGATAGGGTCAAATTGGTAGTTGATTTAAAAAATAATCCTCATTTTATGATTAAGGGGAGCAAAAAATACCTTGTTAATTTTAATGTTTACAAAACAAAACTGCTCTCTATTAATTGTTTGAGAGAACCTTTTCTGCCTTCCATCAGCATGGCTAATGCTTTCCTCCAGGAGAGTGACTCATTACACCTTCTCAGTCTAATGTTTCTCACTGACATCAAGTAGAAAGATTATATTGAATCAATTTCTAGGTTGTTACTAGGAAAGTTGGTTCGTTTTGTTGTGCTTGAAAATTTTTCTGGTCTGGTACTCCTGCTATATATTTAGAAATCCCTGATAAAATCCAAAGAATAATCTGCAATGTCATTGGCCCTGACCTGGTACCTCAACTTCAGTCACTTTCTTTTACCTTTTTTATCAATACTTTTATGATAATTGTCTTGATGAACTTTCCTCTATGTTACCTTGACTCTATGAATTTAAATGCAGTACTAGATTGGCTCACAAGAGCTCCTCATTTTACAATTGAAATGGATAGATTCCTAGGTTTACACACTTGCAAAGAGACAAACTGATTACAAGTTGGTGCATCCTCAAAATTTACCCAGTTGGGCTTGTTTTGAAAAATCTCATCTGGGTTAATCTTATTCTGTAAATTATGTCATTTCCCTGCTAGTTGATGAGTCATTAGGTTGATGATTGTTGCTGACTAGGGGTCAGTGATACCTCATTGATTGAAACGGTTGAATTCTTAATAAAACTAGACAGCAAAAAATGCTTTGATTAGTTTCATTCAGGTTCTATATTGTTTGCAGTCAAAATCCACACTGCTGTTAAATATTTGATGAAGACAGACAAAATGCTTTTAGCAGTGAAACCTACACAAAAGAGAGGTCACTCCCTTCTTTCTGTGTTACTGAATTTTCTGTAACCCTAGATAGATCAATGAGGGAGAGCCTGATACATAGTTATTAACTGAATTTTATCTGAAATTTTCAATATATAATATATATTTATATTTTATAAGTTATTATCAATAAAAATGTTTACAATACTTATATAAACCAACTAAAGGTTTTTGTGATGGTAATGCTCAAGATAAGAATAATTGTATTATTGACAGAATATATATTTTATAAATGCATATGAAATACACTTACTAAATCTTCAAATATAAAAATATATAAAAACAGATATATTCTATAATTGAAAATATTATATATATAAGTGCAAGAGAAGAAACTATTAGTATAGAACTTAGTTACCTCTAGACATGTCAACCTGGCTACCAATCTAGTACTGTGTATAAATTTGTAAAGTTGAGGTACCAAAGAGGAAAGCTCATCAGATATATTTTATATAATTTAAAATATTATATATTATATATATTTTCCCTGTATAATGTTTGGTCTGTTATTAAAATTTACCATTCAATTAAGTTCATTATTAAAGAAGAACACTATATTGTGAAAATAAACAAATATATAAAATAAACACTTTTTAATAATAAAGCTGCAGAATTATTTATGCATCATCAGATATCATATTACTTAAACTAGATATATATTAATATCATTGTTTTAACCTGCGTGTGTAGTACAGCGGTTATGAACATGAAAGTGGGATTGGCATATTTAGTTCAAATTCAAGCCACGTCTGTTGCATTTGTTTTTGCACAAGTACCCTGGGAAAGGTATGAATTCATGTTCTCACACCACCTAGGGATTAATAGCAGGAAAGGCTGAGCTCTCTAGCCTTGGTTGGCAACCAGTCTAGGAGGAGCACAACTCTGAATTAAAAATCAGTTGGTTGCAGGGCTAGTAACTTGACCCTGTAAAAAACTACATGCTATGTAAACTACAATAGCAGCACTGTGTATTGTAAGGCTGTTGCCCTATACTCCACAGGAGGAGTTTACTGGGTTAACATGCAACAAACTACTTTCTATATTAGATGGTATCAGAAAGTTACCAGACAAGAATTTCTTGGCAGACTCTATAACTGATTTCATTCAGATGAGAGAACTGATGGATTGTTAAGAAAAGGTTCTCACAGATGAGTTTATGAATTTTTCCCACATTTTCAGACATGTTGATGCTGATTGTTCACTCTGAATGCTCATCATCTTGAATCAACACTCAACTGACCCTGAAATGTGCATGCTATCCTAAAACCATTGTACCATCCAAACTTCTTTAGGTGTCTGTTGTTTTGAGTAACTGTCAAGTAATTTTAATTTATTTAATCAAAATAGGTGTAGATTGTTCTCATTCCACTGTCTATATTTAGGGATATGTTGCCTTGTTATTTGTTTTAGTACCGCTTGCTTTGTTCCTACTGAGTAATTCCACACTACCCAGTCCAGGGATTGAATTCACAATATCACCAAATTCTTGAACCAATGCTTTAATCCACCAGGCAACTGTCCCATGAGACAATTCTAAGTCTGGAACTTAGAGCCTTAAACTTAATATTATTATTGGCAAAGATGAGGACATTAGTCCAACTGTGAATATTGTAAATAATATGATGTGGCATCAGAGAGTTTCCAGACAAGGATCTCTTGACAGACTCCATAAGTGATTTCACTCAGGTGAGATAGATGATGGATTGTTTGGCAACAATCCTCATGGATGAGCCCATAACTGCTTGTCATCTTGTATCAACACTCAACTGGCCCTGAAATGTGTATGCTATTCCCAAACCAGCATTCAATCTGAACAGTGTTCCCCCAAGTCCTACTGAAGCAATGTTGAGCTTCAAGAAAAATTTGATGCCATTGTTGTCGGAATTTGTCAGTCATCATAAAGACAACAAATCTGTTCCGACACAACATTAAAAAAAACTTTGTGTAATAACTGAACATAAATAGATACCGCAAAATCTATTTGCAAACTGATTCAGTTGGGCTGCTCATTGATGATGTAATCAGTAAAAACCAGGGAAATTTCCAGTACTGCTTCATACTCTCCTGAGACACACTGATTCTACTATCTTACCTTACTACCAAAGGATCCAATAATTAAACTTAATTTTTAGGTTACTAGAAATATTTATGACTGTTATAGAAGGTGACCATAAAGAAATATCTGACAGTAAAGGCAGCTGATTTCTGCAATGTCTATAAAGAACTACAATACTGTACAGTTTTCATTCTTTTCTCATATTATTCTCATTATATTAAAAACAAAAATTTCAGTCTTTAAAATTGAAAAAATAAAAATTGCATTAATAATTCACACAATTTCTTTTAACAATTAAAATGATCTACATGCATACAAACACAGACATGGACACACACACATATGTGTATATAAATATGAATATCAAATATTGCACAGTGAGTGCTGGTGCCAATAAAATAGTGCTCAATGTATAATAACAGAGCTATAATTTATATTGATAATAAATATACATTTTTTTCCTCGCCAGTAGCACAACTCATGCACAATGTAATCGTCAAGTGCTGATTTAAAACTGACCATTCCATAATTTAAATATTGGTATTTATACTATGCTGTAATGATAGTGAAGTAGTTCATTTATTTATGGGGATGGGGGTAATAAAATAAAATAAAATAAAATAAAATAATTTTATTTACCTCATTAGCAGAATTTTAAAGATCTTATGTCTTAATAAAAATAACATATCTACTGAAGATTGGATCTAAAAAATACACAAAACAGTACAGGTTTATATGTTTTTTCTACTATTAATACTGATACATGTATATATACAGTGTGCAGCAGAAATTCCTCCCACATAATAGTAAGATATTAGTGGCTTCATCTAAGTAATATCTTACTATTATGTGCGAGGTATTTCTGGAAGGTATAGGTGGGAAGTGCTTTTGCCACAGCCTATATATATATATATATATATATATAATGTGGGGGAAAGATACATGACAAAGTAGAAAAAGTTTTTTTGTGTGAAGCATTTCGTTTTTAGGACTTCATCAGACTGTTTGCTTATGTTGATACAACTACACATGTGTATGAACAAGTGATCCTGGAAAATTTTTAATTTAAAAACAATTTTTTTTATGTGTTTTGGGTATATAATCCAGCTGATTAAAGCACTTTCTAAACATTTTTGTCTAAGTGAATTGTTTTCTCTTTTAATTAGAAATAGTATTTTTTAATCAAAAATTGTGGTCAACCCTGTTAATAATACGTTTAATGTGTTGTTTTGTAAAATATTCTTTTTGTGTACATATGATCTTTTATTTAAATACATGGGGGTTTCTCCAATGTATTCTTTGTGGCAATCATTACAGGTAATAGAGTAACTAAAATTTGATGACTAAACTTGGCCAGGTATCGCTCTGCTTATGGGCAAATCTTTTTATTCTAACAGCCCAGTCAAAAGTTTCCTGGGGACACACACATCAGCAAAATAGAACTGAGCCTCAAAGAGCATATTTTCTATGAACTGAACAAGAAGACAAGAAAAGGTAAATTTTACAAATATACACTGACATACCAAAAGTCATGGGATAGCAGTATGTAAAGGTAATGTTAGGTAGCACCACTCCATCTTAGCATTATGGAAATGCCAAAACCTATATCAGTTGTGCTTTGATATCTGATTAGTCAGTGTGAACACTGACAAGATGATTACTCATGACAACACAATGTGAATTATCAGAGCTTGAATGTATGTACTGAATTCTCGTTTTTGAAAGACAGCAACCTTGTCTATTATTAAGCTCCTCCCGAGCTACACACTTCTTTAAGTACTGATTAGGTTTGATATGAGGACCAGTAGTTTCAGTGTTATTGGATATTATATGTACCTGTTTGAGATTTCAAGAACATATGCTGATGTGCCAAAAGTTTTGAGATAGCAGTATGTTGGTTGGTTGATTTTGTTTAGTGACATATCGACCTCTATGGATTATTTAATTCTGAAATGTAAATATTTTAAATGCAGTTTTATGCCTTCAACCACAGTTAAATGTTTTGTTAGTCATTTTGTTATAAAATGTATTGTTGGTAATTCTATTATAAATAAGTATTGTTGGCAATTTTACTCTTAATGCGCATTGTTGGTAATTTTTTTTATAAAAATGCATTACTGGTTTTTTACTATAAATATCAAGTTTTAAACTTTCATAGTGTTTTGTTTTTGTTTGAGTTATTTCCCTTAGATTCATGAAATTCCTCTTAAAAAGCATTAAAATTTTTCATGATTTAACACAGTATTTCGCAACTGGGATTTATATGGAACCAGATGGTCCAGCTAACATTTCTGGAGTCCACACAAAAAAATAGCAAATTAGGGGTCCATTGTAATATTCTAAATTGTTCATAGAGCAATTTCACTTCAGAATTGTTGTTACAATTGAGAATTGGAATTTCTACAGAAATCTACACCATATTAAAATAGTAAAAACAGAAAAACAACTCTAAAAACTAGCAGAAAATGAGAATAAGTGATATGTTAGCGTCTCTTTTACTTAATGGGATGTTTTGATTGTAAAAGTTGAATAAAACCGAGAAGGATATATAAAGGAAGAATTAAATTATATATATAAAAGAAAATTATATAAAGATTATAATTTATAATATAAATTAATTTAATATATTAATCATAAATAATAATACTAATTGTAAATATTAATAAAATATCAATATAAATTAATTAATATAAAATATTAAAAAAAAATATTAATAATGAAATTAATTTAATTTGTAAATTATATAGGGACTATATATAAAGGAAACATATACATTTACTATTTCTATAATACAATTCCTCAACTTATCTATTATTAAAAAATAAAATAGTTTTTTTTCATCAAATGGTCATGGGGTCCACCAAAAAAAAAATTAACAGTAAAAGTGGTCCATGGATTAAAAAAAGGTTGGGAACCACATGCTTAATACAACTGATTAGCACCAGGAAAAGATTTTAGCATTAAGAATAAACTTGAATGAGAACATTGAGATAAGAATAACAATAATTTATATTCTGTTAAGTTCAAATGAGTTTCTTTTTCTCAAAAGAAAGCAGCGTGAAAAAAATAACAAAATGTTTAATGGGAAAATTCAATTTTAAAGTTAATATTTTACATGATTGTTGCATAAATTAAAATAATATGACATGAATGATTTTAATCAAATATTCGAAATATTAAAGAATTAAACATTTCAAATTTGAAAATGTATTTTATGCAGATAACTTTTTTCATAAATATTTTATAATTTAAAAATTCAGATTCTTTATGGAGAAATTGCTTACAATATATATATATATATATATATATATTCAGTTGTATGGATATGAGTTTGTGACCCTGGGTTTCATGCTTTTGTGATCATCAGACAAACTGGTATGTTTTTTAAAAATTGAATCTATTTATGCTTGTTTGTGTTTGATTATGTTTGGTGGTGGGAGGGGGAAATTCTCCTCTGTGTCCATTTTGGGATGACACTCTTATACACATGGACATACATACAAGTTTATGCATTATAGTTCACACAAACACACCCATAAAATAATCCGAGATTATGCACAGATGCACATCCATGCATTCGAGCATACATACATGTGTAATTGTAATCTTTTGGAGAATGATAGGTCATGGATTCCCCATAACAAACTCCTTAGCAAAAATATTTAACAAAAACAACATAAAAGTTAGCTACAGCTGCACTAAAAACATAACACAACTAATAAAAAGCCACAATGAAAAAATAACATGCAATAGTGAAATCAAAGACCCCCAATGCAACTGCAGAAATAAAACCACATCCTAATTATAAGGAAATTGCCTACTCATATCCATACAACTGAATATGTTAGTTCTATCACTGATATTGAGCACTTTTCAATAAATATTGCACATATATATATGATATATTTAGGTCTGGTCTACTTGACATATATATATATATATATATATATATATATATATATATATATATATATATTAGAAAAAATTTGTGTGTGCTTCTTATAGTATGTAAAATAAATAGGTTAGTTAATAAAACAAAGGCAAATGAAACAGTACCAATATAAAAAGTACAAGAAACATTTATTAGATATTAATTATTTACTATATGACAGAAATGAAGCACGGAAAAAAGGTTTTAAGTCTGTAATTTTGGGGCACATCTGTGTCCTTCATCAATGGAGTGAGAAATCAACAGAGAAATGGAAATTACTCACTGACAGATGTTTTTGAAGACAGTGTATTTTCTGGGGGAAATCATATTATTAGCAAAAACTCGATCTCTATTTGATTCCTGACTGTGCAAAACTTTTTATGAAAATAAACTTAAAATTTTGATTGGTGTAAGAGCATTAGGCCTATCTATTATTAGTAGTAGGTGAGGGAGTAAGATTGTAAATATAGATGAAGAGAGTTATAGGTTGCAGAATGGGGAAGACATCTTGCATATAGCCAGTGGAGACAAAAATTGTCAAATTCCAAAAAAACGTGCTGTGGTTAGGATAACTTGTCTATTTCTGAAAGACGGGCTGTAGTTAAAACATCTGACAAGACAAAAAGTGAAGAGGAACAAAGGAATAAATAGTAATAGAATATAATTAAATGAAATAAAAAAAGAGAAGGAACAAATAAAAGAATGAAACTTTGGGATAGTCTATGGTTAAAAAAATTGAGAGGTGGAGAAATGGAAAAACAGAGAGGAAAAAAGTATATATATATATAGATACACATATGTACATAAGTGCACATAGCAGTGTGTAAATATACGCAAACCACCACACAAACTTATGAATCTCAATACACATAAAGATATGAATACATATACAAGATTAATATGTATCTACACTAACCTTCTACACTCCTTACATAAACTTACATGTAATGGAACTATAGTTATAGGACCAAAGATGGTATAAAAGAGGGTGACTGGAAAGTAGCCCTCAGTGTACATGTCAATACTTTCATTACAGAATAGGGCATACTGAGGGAAATCATTCAAATTCCAATTGAGTTTGTTACATTCATTTACATGCAAATAACTTTGGAAAATGTATGAATCCATTTCATCCCCCCCACACAGTTATGAGTAAATAGCAGAACAGACTGGGTCCTATAACCTTGGGTGGCAAATGGTCTTGGAGAAGAACCACTGTAAATCCAAAACCTGAGGAGGGTCATTTAGGGATCTTGTAGCATTCTATGTGCACCAGTTCTCCGTATTCGGCTCTTCCAAAAAGTCTGCTAGCTTTACACAAGCCTTCACCATGATAATCAAATCATATATGTGAGTAGTCTGGCTGTTCAGTTCTAAGAACTGAGTTGCTATACCCTCACATGTCAAAAATGACAGGAAAGTGTATATATATTTTTTTTTTCTACATACATTTTTTTATATATATATATACTTTTTTTTTTCTATGAAAATTAAGGTAGATAAACTAAGAAAAATGATTCATAGGGAACTTAAACGTTTAGATCTTAAAGTTAAAATTAGCACCAATATTGAACAAGTTGATTTTCTCAATTTAACATTAGATCTAGTCTATAACAATTTTCAGCCTGATATGAAAAATAATGCTAACCCAATCTATATTCACCCTAATTCCAATCACCCCCATCTGTAATCTGACATATTCCTTCCTCTGTATAACGTAGGATAAGTAACCACTCATCAGACAAAGATGTGTTTGAGAAACATAGCAGTATGTACAATAGAGTTCTTAAGAATAGTTCTTAAGTATAAGTGCACCAAAATTCAGTTTAGAGAATATGATGATAGTAATTCAAAGAAAAGGAATAAGAAATTAAGGAATAAGAAGATTATCTGGTACACACCTCCATTTAATCAATTAGTAAGTACTAAGTTAGGCCATAAGTTTCTCAAATTGATTGATAAACATTTTCTGAAAAGCAACCCTCTTAGTTAAATATTTAATAGAAATACATTAAAATTTAGTTACTGTTGCACTAATAATCTTGAGAAAATCATAAAGTTGCGCAACAATAGAACTCTAAACCAATTTGATAATTTTAATCATAATGCAAGTACTAATAAAAATATTATTAAGGATAGTGACCAATGTAATTGTAGCAATACTAACCAATGCCCATTATCTAACAGATGTTTAACCAAAAGCCTTGTGTATCTTTGCTCTATCTCTACAATAGAAAATACTTCACTTTCAAAATATTTTTGAACTTGAAAGATGAAAATAAAACTCCTAAAGTTAAATGGAAAACTTTAAAACTGGCAAGAACATGTAAATCCTTATATGAACCTTGTTTTCTGTGTTTACAGGAGATTATGCAGATTATCAGATTTTTGAATAGGGATGATTTATTAAATGAAAGATTTGAGTTAATGGTTAATTGTAAACATATCATACCTTTGACTCTACAATGTTGCTAGTCTTTGAAATTTGACAATTCCTCCTTATATTTTAGAATAACCTTGTTGCACCATATAAAGCTTATCTTTTGTCAGTAAGATCAATTTCGATGTAGTATAATTTGTACATTATTCTTCTAGTACTGCTGGTAATATTTAGTCTAAAGGTATATGTGTTTGGCTGACATTTTGACATTTTCCATTGATTGGTTTTATTAACACCCTATATAAGACCCTTTAGTTAACATTCTGTTTTGCATGATCTATATATTTTTAATAATTTTATATGATCTATATATTTTTAATAATTTTATTAGATCATTTTATTTTACTTTTCATTTATTTCTTAAAGAGCCATATTATTTACCAACTATAAAATTGTGAAATTCTAACTTTAACTCACAAGGTATGTGGTTTGTCAAGTGTCATGTTAAATTACATTTCATCTCTCATAGGAAATGTCATGTGTCTTATGTTAACATTGTAACAAACTTACATTTGTATCAAATATAACATCTAAGTTATCTATGATTTTAAATCTGTGGGTTATGATCTCTTACTTATGATTGTTTCTTAACTTCAATTTCTCCTCTTGCTTTGAACTTAGCGTAGACCATTTTGATTGGTGGATCTGATAATAAATAAAACAATTTCTGCTGCTATCCCTCCCTCTTTTTTTGTACACTTTTTCTTTATTCTTCCTTTCTTGGGAAAAGATTGTATCTTGAGTCTTTCTTTCTTAGTCTTTTTCTTTTCTTCTCTTTTTCGCGTGAAAAAAGGTTGTATGTGCTTTTAAATCTCAATAAATTGTCTACTAACCAGTTATTTACTAATGCCTGATGAGATGTGTTAATACACATTGAAACATGATTGCATTTGTGTAGTGTTATTCATATGTTTTTGATGTAATATCCTTAACTAAAGAATATTGCTCTATTGTATTGAGCCATCTTTTATATTAAATGTTATGAATATCAGAAATTGTATTTGATTCCTTCTTATTTCATATATATATATATATATATATATATATATATATATATATAAATATAAACATTTACTCTATGCCCCACCACACACACACCCTCATATATATGCATACACTGTTGATTTGTGCATCATTAGGTACTCCTAGATTTAAAAAAATACAAATTGTCAAGTATTTTTATAAGTTTTTCAACTTGAATTTCTTTCATTTTCATTTCAATAGTATTTTATTGCAAATCTCATTCTATAGCTATCAGTAAGAAACATAGAACAGAAATAAATAATAACATTTCAATAATTCCTATGATTTCTAGCTTGTATAGTTACTTTTTATAAATTACAAATAATTAATCCATGAGGGAGTGCTGAAAAATACTTAGCCTGATCAAAAAGCATATAAAAAAAAAAGTATATACTATTTGATTATTTGGTCAAAGTTTAGGGAGTGGATTGGACTGAGACTTTCTGGCATGCTACCACCATTTGTACTTTGATTCTTCATATGTCAGATCTTTTTCTGTCACATGAAAAGACAAAAAACAAGTTCTTTGTTCTTTTTTTTTTATAATGAAACAGATTAAAAGAGCATTTACATTGAGTATAATGCAGTTTGTACAAAGTTTTCTAATTTTTAAAATAATTTCTCTAATGTTTAAAGATCATGTTGGAGGTACAGAATTTAAATAATTTTATAAAAACAAAACATATTTATTAAAAAAGAGTGGAAAACAGACAGGGAGAAAAATGCACTCATCATAAATGGCAATTTGAAACAAGAAAGAAAACAACAATATATATATATATATATATATATATATATATATATAAGATATCACACATTGAATGCTGATGTTAATAAAATAGTGCTCGATGTAATATAATAGTGCTATTAAGTATATATTAATAAATATACATTTCTTTTTCCTCACAAGTTGCATAACTCGGAGTTTCTGTGTTGTGCATGAAAATTTGAGTATTGTTACTGGTAATGAAAAAAAAGTATATTTATTAATATATATTTATTTATTTTAATCCTCTTGTATTCTCGTATGTTGCAATTAAATTCATTATGGAAGGTGCTGTAGTTTTTCTCATTTCTTTTACTTTCCCAAGTATTTTCAACCTCATACAAGATCATCTTCAGGGGTTAATTGCTAAGACAAAAAAAAAAGTGCTAAAAAGTGATCAATTGAATCCTAGCAAATAAATAAATCAAGAAAAATCTCTTGTATGACTTCTTGATTTATGGAATATATATATATATATATATATATATATATATATATATATAAGAATTAATGGATTTATTTTTAACATATTTTAATTAATTGTAAGGATACTTGTATTTAAAATAAATACCTCAGTTTTATTTTTACTTTTAAACAGTGTGTATTATGTCGATTTGCCTGCATATTCAAGAATTCTTAAGGAAAATGTGCTCTCCAGCAGGAATCGTAACACCATCTTGAAGGAGAAACCACCATTTATTCCAGCATGCTTTACCACTTGGCTACAAAGAGCATCCCAGATTACTATGGTTCCATTTTCCCTTTTAAAAAAAAGCACACCTCCTCACTAAGATATTTTTCTCAAAATCCAGTACCTGCTCAGTTTCATATCTGGAATGTAAACAAAGCAATTTCTAAAAAATTTATGAATTTATTTTTAATTGGACACACACACACACACACACACACATATATATATATATATATATATATATATATATTAAAAAATTATATATATATATATTGGTATCCTTGAAGATACTGAAAGTTTGAAACAAAGGTAGCATGACTGACTGATCACCAAATTTTTTAAATTTAAAAGCTCTATATGTTAATTTTTATTTTCTTTATATGTGTATTGAGCACTTTTTTAATACAAGTGTTTTCTAGTCTAATTTAACTCTGACCAATATCTGTTTTATATATATATATATAGTCATCCACAGACAGATCGTTTCGATGTATCACAGCTCATCAGTGTGGCTATACATGTGATTGCTTTAAGCTGGTATTGAAACCCGACCGATTTGACATCAGTCAGAGACTCTCACCACTAGGCTATATATATATATATATATATATATATATATATATATATATATATATATATATATATATATATATATATATATATATATATATATATATATATATATATATATATATATATATATATATATCAGTGTTCTCTTTCTTGCTTCAAATAGATATTTATGGTAATTGTATATTTTCTCCCTGTCCATTTTCTTCTTTTAAGAAATATGTCTATTTTACACCCTTTAATATTTATTGTAAATATATTACTCACCTCTTACCATAAACTATTAGAGAAAACAATTACTTATTGATAATATTTTCAGCACACTTCATTTTATAATAAATTGTTGGAAATATATTAATAAGAGTCATTGTTTGTTGTTTCTTGACTGTGTACTTTGTTTAATGCTCTTCCTTTATTGAAGGAAATGACTGGAGACTTCTGGCTGAACGTGTGGGAATAGAAAAAACCACAATAGACACATGGCAGGCAAATAAACTGGAAAACCCTATGGCTAATGTATGGTTAGTGTGGGCCCAAAGTCCTGGGGCTACTATGCGGATGGTACACAGACACCTGATTTCACCTCAAATGAAGAATTCGTTATTGGCCAGAAACGTGTCAGATTTTTATCAGGTTATTTGATAATGTTGAAATGAAACTGTAATAAATGAAGACATGTTACAGCCTTGTTTGCTTTTTTGTTTTTTTTTGCAGTTATTTCACTTATACACTACAGTTTTTATTTTCAGCAATTTTTGTTGTATCTTCATATCTTGATCCTTTATCAGACCAGAGATGTTTTTATTAAAGGTACAACATGAAAAATTATATTTTGAGAAGAAATTTGGAAAAATTGATAACAAAAATAATTTTAAAGACAATATAGTGCTGATAAATTTAAGTGAGCACAACTACTTTACAAGTCTGTTAACTTTTGAAGATATGATATATATATCATGATCATGAATCTCGTGACCCATCAGAGTTGTAGGGGCACCACATGTACTGCAGCTGCAGAAGTGATGTTTCTTGGGCAAGATAAACTGATGGAGTACAACCCTCTCCAGGCTGGTTTGAATTCGAAGCTTCCCCTCTCCTAGACTGGTTGCCACCCATGGCTATAGAACCTGGTCTGTCAAAATAAGAGAGACCAAATGATTTGCAATGTGAGATAACATTTATTAAACAAATAACAAAAGGAAAGTTTAAGAGTTACCTTTCCTAGAAATAAATTGAATACACAATGAAAATTATTAATGAATGTATTTGAGTGTGACTTGCCTGTGTAGGTGAAGCATCCATAGCCCTTTTGCTTCGGTATGAAAAGTTGATGGCACACACTTTGAAAGGAGGAAAAAAGAAGAAAAGAGAGTTACTTAAGTGTTCACCTGTTTTATATCTTCCAGGTTACTGCTGATAATATATTCATTATGGCACTATAATTGCTTATGTAAGAGGAACAGATGTAAAGAATTAGTAAACATTATTGGGATGGTGTTTAGTAGTAAGTCTACTGCTTTAAAACCTTTTTATCAAAGTTTCTTCACCTACAAGAAAGGGTCTGACAAAAAAAATGCATTTAAAACATCCCATGCATATGTAATAAAATATATAATGAAGAAAACCAACTATCCTCTTAAAACCCAGACACATAGCACATAAAAAAAATCATAAGTGAAGGTGAGATGGAAAAATCAAATGTGGTGGCCCATAGTGGGAGGGAAAATAGAATAGAAAAATTTTGAAACTACCAGCATCTCTCGTTTTTTGTGCATGTATAGACGTGTCAACATCAACAAAGCCCAGTCCAATGAAATCCTAATAGATGAAACTTGTCACAAGAAGTTTTTTTACAATTTGTCATACTATTTTTTCTAAATATGTATATATATATATATGCCTTTAGGCCTTTTTCTTTCTTCTCTTCTTCTTCAAGATTTTCTCTTGATTAGGATGTTAGGTCTTTTGGCAAGTTGTCTGTTGGTTCCACCAACACTTTTCAATTTTCTTTAATAATATATATATATATATATATATACACACACACACACATATATATATATATACATAATGATATATAATTTTGTATAATTTTATATATCAACAACAAACAATATTTAGAAAAAAATGACAAACTGGAAAAGTTTTTGTGATGCGCCACAAAAAGTTTCACAAGTTGTTATGTTTATTGGGATGGTTTCCTTGTTTAAGTTGGTGAATGCTGCCATAATCCTTTCCTTCAGTTCATCTTTGGTGTTACAAGGAATTTTGTTAGTCTCTCGCTCAACTGCGCTTCACACATAATAATCAAGGGGGTTGCAGTCTGGGGAGTTAGTTGGCCAGATGTAAGGGGTGATGTGGTCACTGAAATTGTCTGACAATCATGACTGGGTTCTCCTGCTTGTGTGGCATGGTGCAGAGTCCTGTTGCCAGACATAGGGTCTTCCAGCAGCCATCCTCTTGACCCAAGGCAGCACTACTTCCTCAAGGCATTTGATGTAGGCCTCTGTGTTGAAATGTTTGTATTGGAGCTTTCAGCACAAATGCCAAGCAGTACAACATGCCATTTCCAAATATCTAGTGGAGTGAATTGTGTCATGGTTCTCTTTTTTTCACAGACAGTGCCAACTGACTCTACTATACTGTGCAGTTGACAAAATCAAAAACAAACAAACAATGTGCATGGGTGAAATTAAGAATATAAAATGACGACAATTTATCAATCGCACCCGTATGTAGATATAATAGGCCAATGAAAGAAATTCAATAGATAAAAAAATAACAACAACAACAACAATAATAATATTTAATGTATATTAGTAGACCTTTTGACCAAATAGAAGCGTGATGAGAAAGATTTAAAAAATCAGAATTTGTGTCTTTTCTTTACAAGGTAAGAAATAAAAAATAAAATGGGACTTTTTTCTGGTGGAATTTTACTTTTTCTGCATGTGTTATATTACTAAAACGATCTAATAGTTTTGGGCTAGTTGTTTGTCATGATTAGGGTTTGTAGAGGGTTTTTAGAAAGCTTTTTGCAGAAGCTGTATTCATTGAGTATGCCTAAATTCCTGTTTAAACTTAGAATACATAAGTTTTGAAAACTTTTGTTTCATTACATCTCATTATTAAAACTTTCTAACAATTGCCATCATTTTTTATGGCATAAGTACACAAGTATCTAAATTTCTGTTGCCTCTTATTTCACTGGGCAAATAAATTATGTCAACTTTTGTTAAAGAAGCCATGATTAGGTGACTCTTTCATTTCTTGACACTTAGTATCTGCAACATATGAAAACTAAATATAGTTATAAGAAAAGCAGGAAAACAAACAGAATGACTGCTGATGAGAAACCTTATCTAATGGCATATATTATTATTCAATGTTTAATGATTGTCTTTTTTGTCCTTAAAAGAGTTATAATTTATTTAGTCCTTGACTCATTAAGCAAATATTCATTCTTTCACAGGTAAAGTTTCTTAAATTACATATTAACCTGAATATATCTAGATCAAAGCTGATAATTTGAAATTGTTTGAGTCAAAATGACAGAGTTGAAAACACTAAAACCAGGGTGGGTATTGTTGTCAATTTGTTTTCTTCATTATTCTGTAGTGAACAGTGCTACTATTTGTATTAGATGAGATTGCTGTCAATCAATTTGTAGTTTGTGGATGAGGTTAAGAAATTTCAAAAAAGAAGAGAAGAAAGAAATTAAATTTACATGTATACAGATTGCTCAAAAAAGGAAAGAAAACATTCTTGTACTTAGCAATAGTGTGTGTGTGTGTGTGTGTGTGTGCATGAGAAAAAGAGAGAAAGAGAACAACATAGGTGACAAAAGAAGAGAAATTATATTATATTTACATGCATACAGATTGTTAAAAAAAGGAAAGTTGCTGTATTGCCGCTACTACACCTAGAGAAAGGAGGGGTTTATTGCCCCTATCATTTTATTGTATTGAACAGTGCTACCTAGCAGGTGTCTTGGCAGACAAGGTAGGGGAAATCCCAACAATTCTATATATTAAGGAAAAAGCTAATGCCTCACTAATTTATTTAATTTATAACAACCATTTCCAAAAATGTAACTTTGTTTAAATACATTATGCATATATCTTTTTCCTCTTCCTTTTATTATACAATGATATATCAAGAGTCATGAGATAAGTGTCTTATATCATGTAGGACACCACTAACCTGACAAATTGCACCAAATTAATGTGATATCAATTCCACAAGTGGTTAATACTGCAGAGATGTTGAGCTGTCTACAGCTTCCTGATTATTATTGCTAAAGAATCCTGTGTAAAAATGGACTTCTTTACTATGTCCCATAAATACCTAATTGGGCTCATGAGCAAATGTGGTGGTCATACCATTCATTGGAAGTTTCAAGAATGTTCCTCTAACCAGTTCTATCAGCTTGAATCAAGTGACATGGAACATTATCTTGTTGGAATAATCCCTCATTGTTGGGGTACATGGAGTCCATGAATGGGTGTAAATGGTCATGAGGAAGGTCAATGTAGAGGTCACCAATTAATGACATGTTTAGTTGGACCAGCAAACCCAACCAATGCCACATAAATACACCCTACACCATTATGAAACCATATTCAGCTTGTATGATGCCTTGTTCACAACTGGAGTCCATCGACACATGGGGTCTGCACCATATCTGAATCCTACAATCAGCTTGAAACAAATGAAACCATGAATAATTGTCAAATTAGCAGGTAAGCTACTGGGTCTAGTGTTGTGATGTTAACAAGAGTACTTTGGTGATATTTCTGCTCCCATATCCCATGGAAGGTAAAGAACACTGAAATAACCTGCTGGATATACATCTATTACCCCCTGCATTGAATAAGGATGTGATTTGAACCAGTGTCACTTGCCTGTACCACAAAATATTTTAGTCAGATGCCACTGATTATGATCATTAAAGATCCATGGTCAGCCACTGCGCTATTCTCTGCAGGCAGTAATGCTAATTATTCCTGGTATAATCATGACACAGTAAATTAAGGGATATCTATGTCACCACTATTTCAGAAATGGAATGTCCTATCTATTTGGAAATCACTATCATGCCTTATTCAAATTCCAGTAATTCATATCACTTTGCTATAAATAGCCTAGCCAGTGTTCACACTGACTCGCCAGATATCAGAGCACAACTGATATAGGTCTGGACATTTCAACCAACCATTACATTTACATACTGCTATCCCATAACTTTTGGCACATCAGAGTATGACATTGAGATCTCAGACAGGTACATATAATATCCAACCACATTGAAAGTACTGGTCTTCATATGATTAGCAAAGTTAAGTAACATCAAACCTGATCAATATTTCAGGTCGTGTGTAGTGGGAGAGGACTATCTATCTATCTATCTATCTATCTATATATATATATATATATATATATGATAGTTTAAAGAAAGGAAGAAAAACATTTATGGGATTAGCAGTTTTGTGTGTACATGTGAGTGTATAACATGGTTTGGTGAATTTAAGTAGTTGGTTGGCCTGGAGAAAGAAATCTCCTTCATCAGAGACAAGGGGAATAGATAGATTCACCTATCAACTGGTTCACACTCCTCCATGGTCTTTTAAACAGGAGTAGAG